TATACTAATTTTTCGTTTATAATTTATATGTTAAACAAATTCGTAAATCAAAAATTAGTATGTGTGTATATACACCTAGTGTAAATTAAGAAATTTTCTTAATTATATATATATATATATACTTATTGTTTGAAACAATAAGTAAATTAAGTATTGATCTTCAATCAAAGTGCTAAAGTAATTTAATATACAGTATACAAGTATATTCAAAAAAATTTTTCTCACTTTCAACTATTTCAAAAAATATAATAATATATAAATTGAAAAACAACAAAGCTGTAAAATTTATAGTAATTTTATATATTTTTTATTATTACAGTTTTTAAAATAGTTGAAAATTGCAAAAAAACTTTTTTCAATAAATACAAATACTCGATTACCTTAATTGTTTATCAAACAATAGTCATACAGATTAGATTAGTACTTCATACTATGAGGTACTAATCTAATCTGCATAACTATTGTTTGATAAATAATTACAAAATTGGGCATCAATTTTCAATCAAAGTGCTAGGGTAATCAAGTATTTGAGTATTCAAGTATTCATTAAAAAAAAAATTTTTTGCAATTTCAACTATTTCGAAAACCACAGAGGGGCAACTCTTCCTGCAAATCTCTAACATAAAATTTACTTAAATTTGTCCAACAAAAAACATCCATTTACTCAAAATTTATTATGCTAACCTACTTTACTTTCTAAGTAAACTTGTTCAGCAAACAAAAATACACATAATACTCAAATTTCAAGTCTATAACTTTTATATTCGTGAAATAAAGTCCTAAAACATTTTTTAAGCAAAAAATTCAAACTTTTGCTATTTACTCTTATATATCTATTAAAAATTGTTCTACACACATTTTTTATTATAACAAGCTATATTTTATCTCTATAGCTTTAAAATTAACGAAGCTAGCCTTCAAGAAAACAATTTAAACTTTTGCTATTTACTCTTTAATCTAATTCTAAACCTTTGTACTATATCTATTAAAAGTTGTTTTACATAATTTTCTTGTCTTAACAAGCTGTATTTCATCTCTGTAGTATCAAAATTGACAAAGTTACTCTTTAAACTATTTTAACTCTCTTTTATTTACTCTTTACAACTTTCTTTGTCTTTTTTTTGCACTTTTCACTATACACGATTCTTGTGTAATATCCAATTACTTTCAAATTTATCCAAATCAACTTTATATTATAGAAATATTAATTTTCCTTTTATATTTTTCATTCTAGCAATCAATTTTACACAAATTTGCTAATCATTATACAAAAGCTTATTATATATATGATAACCCTTTTTTTAGCTAACCTTATTACCCAATACCCCAAATTTTCTGCACATGATTTTCATATAATCTGTACTCTAAAATTACAAAAAATTAAATGTTTATAATTTATATTTTCATATATATTTTTCTATATTTATATACTATCCTATATATAGTAACAATTAAATCTATTAATAATACTAAATCTTTAAAATTCAATAATTTTTGATTTCTCTAACCAATTTAGACAATTTAATTACCAAAATGATGGCCTCTTCAAGATGCTTCTAATAAATCCAAAATCATTTGATTCTGATTATGTAATCAAAAATGCTATCAAGATTTATTTTTCAAACTACCTATATTTCTTTATTAAGTTTTTTATTTTTTCATTTTACTTTTATTATTTATACTTTAAACTAACTATGGTTTAATAAAATTTTCTTTACTATAAGCTTTCTAGTGATATGCTTGATTGGTTTCAAGCATTTCCAATCAATTCAGAAGCCCAAATTTAATACAATTTCCAACTTCTCTTAGAATTGATGTTTTAAATTTTATTAAACCTTTTCTTCAAAGTTTTTATCCTGGATATACAACCTATACTTCTACTATTCCTCAGCAACCTATTTATAATAGCTTTAATAATCTATTACAAAACATGATTTTACAAAATCCACAATTTCTTTTTAATATCATTTATTAAAATATCTCCAATAGACCTTTTTTTAATTCCAATATTTTATCTGAGTTATTACTTTTTACTCTTAAAAATATTCTTTCTAACTTTACTACTGTTCTCTTTACAAGTCTTAACTATAAAAAATCTTTCGTTCACACTATTTTTTACTCCCATATTCTATTTCTCAACATGCTCATATTGCAATTAATCTTGCTCGTTTATATCTCTTTCTTCATAGCAAATATCAAACTATTAACTATACTAAATTCTATAATATTTATAAAAAACAATTTTTGGAACTCTTTCTGACAATCATTTGGACTACAATTTTTAAAAAACTTTTTACTAGAAAAAAATACAGTATACTAGAGTAAAGTTGACGACTCTCACGTAAGACGTAGTGTAAGCTAGCAGCTGTTATTTAGAGGTATTTCTAATATGCTACCTGCTAACAGCCTCAGAGTTTATCACTCACTAACTGCAGGCACGGCACTTGTCGTTTAGAAGTAGTTCTCATACGCTACTTGCCAACAAGCTTAGAGTTTATCACTCACCGAAAAGACTTAGTACCGTGCATGCTCTGGTGGATAGTTGATTCTAGTAGAAGAAAACCTACGTTCTTTTGGTGGTTTCAAGTATTTTTTCTCTCTCTTGTATTTTGCTGACCTTACCAAAATTTTTGGCAAAAAGTGGGCATTTCAGCTTACCTCCTTCAAAAGATCGGCATTGTTTACACTTATCTAATTCGGACGAACTCAGTAGAATACAACTACGTATTTGTTTTGTTTATCATTACAGTGCTACGGTATGGAAATGAGATCGATAACCCTCATTTAGAAGATATCTGACCCTGGTGACATGTTCGGAACGAGTCCCAACGTTAAAGCGAAGCTTTACAGCCAAGATATATTAATTAGTTGCAATAAGTATATAATTTTTACTTTTATATCTGGCATAAGTTATAATAGTGTATTTTTTTTTTTTTTTTTTTTTTTTTTTTAAAGTGGTTTATCAGGACTCCTATGTCTTTTTTTCTGCTCTTTTTATCTTTGTCCTATTATGATGGAACTTTTTTTTCTTTTTTTTGTTTTTCTCTTTCTTTTTCTAGATAGTTTTGTTTTCTTTCATAGATGTGACATATTTTTTCTTCCTTTATGGAAAAGTAAGAGATAAATTATTCTGCCTGGATCTAGGTGGAAAAAGTTTAGAAGGAAGGATTGGTAGTGAAGATTTATTCTTTGCAAGTGCAGTAAAGAATTTTTTGAAGAAGAATCCTGCCTATAGCAGGTCGCATATGGGTAATTTGGACTCTGGTCACAAAGAGCCGGGTGAGCTAATATTTGTAATTTAGATAGCATTAGGGTTTATACCCTACGAAAATTTAATATTTCACAGTATAATATTATAAAGCCTAATAAAGTAGAGGCAAGACTGCCAAACTGTTAAAAAAATTAAAAACAATTTTTATATATTAATCAATAAAAAGATTATAATCATATTAAATTTCAAACTATTACTTTTCTTTTTAATAATCTTAAACAACTACTCCCAGATTCTTACTAACCTATATCAATTAATTCATTACAAGAATATACTAATACTGTAATAGAATTTTCTTTTTCTCTTTCTTTTTTTAGTTATTATTATTATATTTTATTAGTTTATACTAGTTTCTTATTATTCTTTATTATTATTATTTTGAGTATTTAATATTTTTTCTAAGTTTTTCTTATATTTTATTATAGTTATTTTTAGTTAGTTATAGAACAACACATTCAAGGAGGCTTCTAAACATCCAAATACTATAATTAGCCTTGTAGATTATCATATGAGCTACACAATAATGTATATTTTATTTTTAATTAATATGTAAGTTATTGAGTAATGCATTGCTAAAAATAACTTAGCTTGGCATTCTACTCAGCATTGCTCGGTAGGCTTTATTGGTGTTGCAGGTAATTCTACTTGGAATTTCCAAGTTGCCAAGGCCTTACATGCGTTTTGAATAGTCCAAAATATTGCTGCAACACATGGTAGTCCTAAAACCAATAAAATATTAGGCTAAAAAGCTATAAAAAGGATAGCTTTTTGCCCTTCTAAAAGGCAGTTCTCTTGCTACTTTAATTTCCTTTAAATAAACTCATATTTATCTATTCTTATCTTAATATTATTACCAAAATTATTTCTTTTCTTATTTATTTTATATTTTTATCTTTTCTTTTAATAATTTCTTGGAATAATATAAAGTGAAAGCTGGTTTCAGAAATAGTATTTTGGCAAAATACTAGTTTATATTATTTAGAATTTAAAGGCTATACATAGCCGTGGATGGTCTAATTGTTAGTACTTCTTCCTCTGGTTATATCCTAGGATATTTCTAAGTTTTAGTGACTAACATATCCTTGTAAAGGGCAAGTAATTACTATGCCTAACTTATACAAACTGACCAATAGGTTTACTCCTCTAATCTTATCGCCTATTGATAACTTCTTATAGTATTTTAAAGGCTATTGAATTTAAATTCCATTATACAAATTGTTTATTTTCTTTCTTTCTTATTATTCTCTTTAAATAAAAGATAGTTCACTCAACACTCGTAACTTAAAAGTTTGCTAAAGCTTGATAGTTTTTAGTAAATTTTACCTCAATATATCAATTAAAGCTACTCTATATCTTTTTTTTTTTTTTAAATCTTAGGCAGTTTTGCCAGTACTTTATTAAAATTCTAAGTATATTACTAAATTATACACTTGTTTACTCCTAATTTGCAAGCCTGACATCACCTGGCTACCTAATAGCGCCCAAGTGCAACCTGCCGTACTAGTTTGAAGACTATTTTAAAAACTAGGGGCTGTGTTAAACTAGCCTAAGTGCCATACCAAAATGGCTTTCCACTAACTTTAATTTTATTTCAAATTGTCTTCCCTACCAAAGCATCTATTCTTCTATTCATGTTTTTCCTCCTATCATTAATCTTCTATACCATGGCTTTTTTAGAATTAGGTGGTTTTCTACTCTTCTGATCAGAACTTTTTTGTGCTTCTGTCTTTTCTCTTCTTCTTTTCCCACTAACCTTCTTTTTATCCTGCAATTTGGCTCTTTTTCCTAATTTTTGATGCTTAGAGATGCCTTTCTCTTTTTCTTACTCTATCATCTTTTCATATCTTGATCACTATATAATTTCATGAAAGCCATTCCACAGAACATGTATTGTTGTATCTAAGGCTAAGTTTGCTTCTCTTTTTGTTAAGTCTTGGTTAATAAGTTCTTCTATGACTGTATTTTTAAATAAGCCTCGAGTAAAGCCTTTTCTTCGCTCTTTTTGCTCCCTGTAAATTTCACCAAATAAGCATTGCTGGAGTTCGCTTGTTCGTAATTTTCTCCTTCTCTCAGGTTTATTTATGAGGGCTTGTACTGCTTCAATTGCTGCTTGTTTAATTTTTTGCCAATGGGTCTGCTGTGCTCTGCAGCATGCTAAATGATCTTGAGTTTCTTCTATATTATCTTTACACAATTTGTAGCTACTCTCCTCATATAGGTCTGGCCTTCTTTTAACAAGATTACTCAGTACTGAGAGCTGATTATACAAGCACTTGATTAGAAAGTTAAGCTTTTTTCCTTTTCATATTAATGTACAGTACATTCTGCTTTGAGATTTGATTCTTCTCCATAGACTTTTCCAATCCCACTTCTGTGTGTTATCTCTTGGCTCGAGCAGACTTATAGTACTTAACATTCTCTATTCTGCTGCAATTCTTGTGTCTTTGAGTTTTTTGACGAAATTTTTTGTTGGGATTTCAATAAGGCTGTTCTGCCAATAAACATTGTATCTGAGCCTTAAACTTGATACTACCTCCTGTATTCGTAGGTTTGGTGCTAGCAAACCTTTTTTTGCTAACTGATCTGCCTCATCGTTCCATTTGTTCTTACTATGACCTTTAACTTTAATTAATTCTAGCTTCAACTTTTTCATGTTTTTGGCATCTATAATTTTAAGTAGCAAAAAGTAGTTTTTTTGTTTTAGCTATTCTCTATTCATTCTTAGACCTTCACCTTTTTTGATTGCATCTATTGCAGCTGCACTGTCTATATATATCTTGATTTTAGTCCTTATCAGGGCTATAAGTAGAACTACCTATATTGCTGCCAATTCAGCTCTTGTCAATGAAGGCCAATGTTCTATACTAAGGCAACCCTCCTGTAACTTGTTTTTTCCATTTTCATCAATTTGCAACCAACCTAAACCCTGTTGTACACTGCTCTTCCATTTCTTGTTTCTTTTAATAATGAGCTATCTGTATAGAATGTTAATGTTTTTTGATCTGTTTTTATATTTCTATCTAGTTGATTTAATAATAACTCTTCACAATATTCACCAAACTCTTGTTTTTTAATATAGTCTCTCTCTAACTTATCTATATAAACTATATCTGCCAGGCTTGCATGTTCTAAACTATACGAGTCTCTACCTATTTCCCTCCTACTAGTTATCTCTGTATCAATATTATTTTTTCTAATTCCTTTAAGTGAGCTTTGTATCATATCAAGAACCCAACTACTATTTTGCTTTCTAAGCCCTTGCAATACTGTGATTACTTTTTTCTTATTAATCCACTCTGTTTGTTGGGTGTTGCTTGACGTAATCGCTTCTTTATCTAATCTGATTTTACCTTTTTCTTCTTTACTAACTAACCACTTCTTTGTGCGAAATCCTTCTTTGCTCTTGCTAACTACTCTTCGAATGTCTGACTTGTTCTCTTTGTTGTTAACTAGTATCCAATCGAGTTTATTGTCTTCTGAGACTTTCACTTTTTGGAGTATTAATGCTAATTTGTTTGTGCTACTTGTTTGCAGATCTTGCTTTATCTCTCTTGTATCAGAGTTAATAATCATCTGATTCTCGATTAACCTAAACCAAATTGGAACCTTTCTTTTGCTAGATCTTTCTTTGACTTGTTTAAAATAATGCTACATGATCATCTGCTTCCCCTGCATATCTAAGAGCTGTTCGATAAATATTAGATCTAAGAATTTTAGCATCTTTGCACACTGTATGAAAGCTTTTCCTCCTATCATACCACATATTGTTCTACCTATATTTCTGATTTTCCAACTACCTTGTGTTAGTTTAATTACTAATTAATTTTTTGCTTCCTTTACTAAGGTTAGCATTGCTTGATTGTATTTTCAGAGTTTGCCGAGTACTATATACTCATCTCGGCCATCAAAGCTCTCTGTTAAACCAGCTATTCAGTGTCCTTGCCAGATTCTCAGCTCAGTAATTTTGTTAATTACCCCTTCATCATTTAATCTGTTATATAGACTTGTAATCTGTTTATTAAATAGCTCTGTGCTTAATACTCTGAAATTTCCTATATTCTTGTATGTAGTCACATAGTTTGGTACTGTAACTTGAAGGTCAAGTTTGCTTTTGCTAGCCTAATTATTGGTTGGTAGATCTTGTTTATTAAGTCTCCAGATACTCTTGATAGTTGTAATAGGTAGCAAAGTTTAGATATAATACACATATTATTGATATATGCTAATTGGCTAACTGTAAGTTTTTTCTATCTTAGTGCTTCTACTGTTTGCTATACAATTACTTTGGCTTTCTTGTGCATCAAATTCTCGTTCATTCTACAGTTAAGCCATATCCCAAGAACTCTTGTTATATTATTTGGCCTTTCTTCTTTAATTTTCTCATAATATATCTTTCTTCTGATCTAGACTTTGGATTAAATACTATGAGATTTGACTTTTTCCCATTGATCTGTATATCATTAATCTCGAAGAATTTATTCGCAATTGTGAGTGTTTTCTCCATCACTTGTCTATTCAGAGCAATCCATGTAGTATTGTCTGCAAATGCTACAACTGCTACCCTTACTTTTTCATTCTTTGCTTTACCCTCTTGTGACAAGTTAGGGTTTAGAGCCTCTATAGTATAGCCAAGCTCTTTACTCTTCTGTACTTTTACTAATAGTGGGTCATAAAAGATCCTCCAAAGTAGTAGTGAGAAGACCTCTCCTTGTTCGATTTCATCTTTCATTTCAACTGGATTTGTAAAGCCTAATGCTATTATTATATGTGACTTTCTGTTCTTAAAAAGTATTAGAATTAACTCTATTGTTTTGGGTGGAATTTTAACTCTTTTTATTGTTCTTTGTAGCATCTCTAGTGATACTGAGTCAAAAGTCTTCTTCATATCTTGCAAAACAACCCAAAGCTTAGCATCTTTCTCCTTCACATCTTCTGTGATTATGTTTAATATATGAACTAGATGTTCTGTAGAACCTCCTGATAACCCTGCAAAATTCCATCCTTGAAAAATTTGGTATTTAGTAAGCACTTTTGAAAGCCTATTAGTAATGATTTTTGTTATACATTTTTTGAATATTTCTAAAAGGGCAATCGGTCTTGTGTTTCCTAAGTCATAGTTCCAACTTGTGCTTTTTGGTATTGGGTAAATTTGTGCCTTTTTCCACTCCTCTGATATAGCTAGCTCTCTTATACAAAAGCTTGCAAAAGATCTAAAATACTCTTGAGTTGACACACTTGCATTTTTGAGAAGACTATATGTAATTCCTGATAGGCCTGGAGCTGTACCACTTTTTAAAGACTTTAATGTGAAGATCCACTCTTTTTCTGTAATTTCGCTTTCTATATCAGAATACCAGTCTTCTTGAACCCAACTAATTGGTTGGTAAACTTCTGCCCAAGCTTCTATCTCTTCTGGCTTTTTGGATACTCTTTCTCACATTTGTCTCTTATAATGTGATCTAGTTTCTTGTAAAACCTAATTTGGTTCCGTAATCAAGGTTCTATCTCCATTTTGTTCTTTGAAAATTCTATCTATTGTAATTTTATTGCAAGGTTTATCTAGAAGGCCTCTTAGCATTTCCTTGTTTATTTTTAATTAGTTCACATTTTTGGTTTATACTTAGTTCTATTTTCTTGTATTTGGTAACTTCTAGTTCTTCAGCTCTTTTTCTGTTTATAATTTTCCACCAGTTTTTCATATCCTCTAGCCACTTTACATAGTTTTCTAAACTTATCTCAGACATCTTAAGATCCATTTTTCTGTTTGTTTTTCTAATGCTTGTATTGATCTCATCTCTCACCTTTTCAAAACTTTCCAAATTGCTAGCTTTTCTTAATACCTTATCCATCTACTTATCTCTTTTACTAAATTTGCTAATTGTGTTTTTGCACTATTATTTTTGATTTGAGTGATTATATTACATATTCTTTTCTTTGGAAGGCTTCTATTTGCTGCCTCAAAAATACTCGTTTTTAGTAATGACCAAATTTGATTTACCAACTGGGATGACTACTCACTATTAATAATACTATCCACTTCTGCTCTTTTCTTTAATTGTGCAAGTAACTCTTCTTTTTTCTTTAGTTTCTTTTCTAATACTTTTCTATACTCTTTCTAGTTTTCATTTGTTGTCTCATCATAGAGATATACTGTTCTAAAATATTTTCTGTTCTTTTCTATTGCTGCTGGCAATTTTAATATAGATAAACTCAAATCTAGTATAGCATGCACTGCTCCATGGTTACTTTTGGTAATGTATTCCATATCCGAAATTTTTGCATTTGTGAGGCTTTCTATTAAATTTTCAGATATCCAAATTTGGTCTATTCTTGTTGCATTTGTGCTGTTGGACCATGTATACTCTTTGCTTGTTGGATATATAAATCTAAACATATCAGCAAAGCTGTTTTTTTCCAGCCATTTATGGATTCTTGACAATTTATGTCTACCTAACTCTTGATTAATAAGCTTATCCAGACTTGGATCTACTATACAATTGAAGTTTCCCATTATTACTATATAAGCTCATTTGCTTTTTTTTATAAATAAATCTAATATATACTTTTGTATACTCTTTTTTCTTTCTTCATCATTTGGAGGTATGTATACTACAATTACGATAAGCTCTATATTTTTAAAATAGAATCTAGCTACTAAAATATATTCTTCATTTGTGTCTATACTACCTAAGTATTTTTCCCAACTAGTTTGAACTCCTAATGCTACCCTGAGCTTTTTTTTTTATCCTTTGCTGCCTTCGATCAGAAAAACCTAAAATTATTCTATTTTTTATTTAAATAAAAACCCTCTTTTTTTCCAATATTCATTTTTGTTAGTCCTATTATGTTGATTTTCTCTTCTAGCACCCAATGTTCCAGGAGCCCAAACTTTTGCTGATTTGTTTTGAGACTATTGATATTGTGGCATACTAAGCTTAGTGTTCTATCTTTAAGTTTTGTATCTTTTCTTATACTAGTAGTGTTTGCTACCTCTATGTTCACTCCAAAAGATGATTGTTCTGTTATATCTAGCCCATTATATATTTCTCTTTGTAAGAAAGTTATGGGCTGTTCTATCTTATTTCTTTCTTTTGATTCAACTGGGGCGCCTTTAGAAGCGGTTTGGAGCCTTATTACCCCTATTGCTTCTTTGGTTTTCTAGGCTGCTAAGTCTATTCATAATCTAATTGAGCATGCTCTTAATCTCACTATCATCTTCTATAGCTTCTTGAGTTTTGATTTGTTTTCTTTTTCTGTTTTCCAATTCTACTTTATTCGAGCCAGTTGCATATTTTGTTGCATAGAATTCTTGATCTTGCAATATCTTATTTTCTAATTTGTTGAGTGTTTTTCTAGTTATACTTCTTGATTTAGAAACACTACTTTCTCTGCTACTTTGCTCATGAACAATATGCCTGATATGTGGATTTCTGGACTTGTATAAAACTTTTGGTTTCTTTTCCATGCTTTGTGAAGCATGTGTTTCTATAGTACTCAACAATTTTTTTTGGTACCCAGAATATGAAGTTGAATAATTGGCGCTGTTTGTCTTCTCCAGGTGTGATTGCTACTGCAATTTGGTGTTGAAATAGTATATAGTACATTTTTGCACTTGAATTAGCTCTTCTTCTGTTTTGAAGTATATATGCGCCCTTTTGCTTTGATTTCTATTTCGATTATTTGAAATATGTACTGCTTAGTCTTTGTTTTTTTAATTGGCAGAGTAATAGACTATCTAATGCTGTTGTTGGCACATTTTCGATTGTAGCTTTGTACTTGTTTCTCTTTTCTAATTCAGTAATATTAAATCTGCCTAGAGTTGTTCTATATGTTTTGCCTCTGTCCAAATGAATTGACCAGCTTTCTTTTAAGGTGTTCTCTCTTTTTGCAATACTTGTTGTCACTTTAATATATGCTGCTTTGGATTTAAAGTTTTGTTGCCAAGCCAGAATAGTTGCTGACCTAAAATAATTTAGATATTTTTTAATTTCATTTGTATTTATTTCTTTCAGTAAATCTCATAATGTAAAAAAATATTGCGAGTCTGCTATATTTTGCAATTTAAATTCACCCTTAGGGGCCCATGCAGAATTGTAAATATTTTCATATTGCTTGGGCTTTTTACTAATTTTTTTTCCTGTTGATCTTGTTTTAGTCTTAACTTTTTCTATTATTTGTTCATTAATACTATAGTCAGAGATACCACACTCATTTTGTACTAGTATATCTTTGACTAATTTTGACTTATCATCAGCACTATATGTATTACTCTTCTGTTCTATATAATTTCTTTTTCATAAAGAATACTGTAGATTGCCATCTATATTGCTAGTAGCTTTGGTATTTGTCCCTGCTATGCATATTGGAATAATTTCCATTTGAGCTAACTTTATATTGCTTGCTTCAATATTCCCCTGTTTTCATTCACTTACTATATTATACATAGATATAGCTTCAGCCTTTGGTTCTATGTTTGTTTGTTTTGTTGCTTTCTGTGAATATGTAATCTCTATAGGCTTAGAATCAATTTCCTTGTTGCTGATGTTGTACTGTACTGAAATATTATTTGTGTTATACTCTATTCCCATTAAGATCGCTTCTGACTCTGATAGGCTCTCTCCTTTTGTTTCCTTGTGTTAAGCCCAGCCATAATAATGTTGAACTTTGCGTATTATAGCAATAGTGTGTACTTCATCTGTACCTAAAAATTTGGCAATCTTTTTATCTTCTTCAAAGATCCAACTATTCTGTCTATTGTATATTGCTGCTCTTTCCTCTTTTGATTTCTTGAAGAAGTTTCTGTAGTCTAGTAGCTTCATTATTTTATGTGTTTCTTGTTTTTTGTTTGTTTAGACACGTGTTTTGTTGTTTTGTTATTTGATCTTCTGTTTGTAAATTGTTTATTTAATCACGCTTCCTTTTTTGTACATGTTTGTTTACTTTGTTGTTTGTTTTGTTTTTGGTGATCTGCAAGACAGGATAATCAACAAATCCCCAAATTTTTTAAAAAATTTGTCAAAAGTTGAGTTTCCTTGTGTAGTGAAGCCCTTTGTTTGTTGAGAGCAATACCATTCTATGAAACTAAAGTTGTTTTTTCCTTTCCTATCTTTTTTTCTTAAAACTGGATCTGTTGTTATCTTAGTGTGTTTTTGCTCTATCCTTGATTTTCTCTTTGCTCTAGTTTGTGGTAGAGTGATCATCAAAAAGAGTTTTGTAAACTTGTATATATTAACTAATACTTGTAATTAAAATGTTTTTATTGTAGTTAACTACAATAATTCTTATAAAATTTATACAATCACATTTACAATCTTAGAGTTTTTGGGTGTTCTCAAGCATCAATTGAGGTGCGATTTCATAATGATCTAAATAGTGCACAAGTATTATGACGTAATTTTAGATAAAAGTCAATAATACGAATGACGATAATATTGATATACCGTAAAGTGCCATGCCGAAGACCCGGTGTGATGCAATTTTTTACAATAGAAAAATTTTTAAATCACATGTTATGTATCACATGATGTATAAATAATATTTTAAAAATTAATCTACCATATTTGTCACGCCGGGTCTTCGGTATGGCACTTTACGGTATGCTCAAACATTGCTATTACTATGATTTTTTAATAATTGTAGTGATGCTCAATTGCAACGATAGGTTAAAATAAAGATCACAATCACAAGTTGAGAGGATTCTAAATAGTTTATCGAAAATTTACAAAAATATAAGTCGATAATGAAAATCCAAAATAAAGTATGAAAACACTTGAACAATACTTTATTCATTTTAATATTTATAAAGTTTTGGTAAGTCAGAGCAAAAAAAAAAGGAGGTTAGGGATAAAAAGTTTTTTGACTGAAATGGCAAACTCACTTCTCATTTTTTACTATTTAAAATATTTTTTTCACGTAATAAACTACCTTACTCATCTTAATGACAAGCTCGATTGATCGATTAAAATTACTTTCCGTTAATTAAAATATTTTACAAATAGTTATTATGAAGATCATTAATACAGTATAAAAATTGTAGATTTTCTTTTCAAATCAAATGCCAGGAATTTATTGTCTCTTTTTTTATTCATTCGGATTAAGTCCATGCTAGCCGAAGAATCATTTGCACAAGAAATTAATTATACAAGATAATGAGAGAGCTATATTAATAAGTTATGAAATTTTTTCCTTTTTTTAGATGTTATTTAGATAATAAATTATTGCTTTTGCGATAAACACTGTTAATTTAGAATTTTAATAAATTCTACAATTATTACGAAATTTTGATCGCTTATTTCTTTTTCTGTTTAGATGAGAGAGCTTCCCAATTCATATATTCAATTTTTATAATATTCGGAATACATGAACAGTCTCGCAAGTAAAAGAACTTTGCAAGAGGAGATTCAACAATCAATTTGAACATACCAAAAGAGCGTAAAATATATTCCGTTAGGATGAACCATATCAAAGCGAAACTCGCACCAAAAATGTTGCCAACTAAAACTTGTTTTGATGTATGGTAGTTAAGGTGGATTCTAAGAAAAGCAGTTATTTAGAAAAGTTAACTTATCATTGAAGAAATAAAAATTAAAGACAATACCTAGAATAAGAAACGGAGATCAATAGTATTATCATGCTTAAAGTTATTGGGAATTTCCATAAATTTCGACTGAAAGTAATCCTAAGAAATAAAAATGGTTTATAAAATATACAAAGGAAAGAAAGTAACTGGCTTAATCATAAATACCTAGTATACAAGTACAAAATCGAAAAAGTTGTAAAATAAGCAATGAATTGGGCATGTGAAGAGGGCATTCCATATCCATCCCCAAGTTTATCTATCGAGTTTATCATTTATATTCAGTTTTCACATTTAATTCAAAAAATAAAAAAAAAACTATGTTTTCAGAATACCAATAGGCCTTTTCTCCTTTAACCATTTCTTTAACACAGCGTTCAAAATTTCGCAAGCGAGCTGACCAATAAACATATTGATTGAAACCACCTCTCTTCGAGCGATAATGGTAGTAGTATATGCAACCAAAATAGCCAAAGGAGATAAGGTTATATATGCAAAAGCATAAGCAATAGGATCGGATGAATCAAACTCTACATTCGTAAGGGAAAGGGAAATCAAAGATCGAGTTTCATTAGGTGACATGGCTATTCGAGTGATTGGGCATTCATAGGTTAATCTAATATAGTTACCTGATAAAACCCTTGTACCACAATCTTAACCATATAAAATTTCCATTCTAATTTTTTTTGTAACGGTAGTTATGCAGTCTTTGAAAACATTTATTCACCACTCACAATGTATCAATTATTTTCAAAATTACGCTTATGTTACCCTAATTTACGATCATTTTCAACTTAATAATCATTCTAATCTTGACATAATTTTTGAACCAGAACGTGTACGTATTAATTAATTGAATTAACCCTTATTTTGTAAAACATCGGCTCCTGTTAACATCATTCTTCCAGACAATAATTAAAGAAACCAATTCTCCAACATTATCCAATATCACCAATCAAAAAACTTTAATTATTGAAATATACCACCCAAAAACAAGTTCTATTAATAATTCTTTTTCAATATCCAATAATAATGTTGTGATTTTATTAAGAAAACTTGATGAGGGTTTGGAATGGTCATCATTAAAGTTTAAATATTATCTGGATGGGGATATGAATGAAGAGGAAGAAAAATGGTTTCTCACAAATGAAAATGTAAGAAAATGCTCTGAGCTTGTAGAGAGACAATCAAATTGGGTAAACTATTATATTTTTTATTATTTCATATTCATTCAAATTTAATAACCTTTATATTGACATGCTATCTAATATTTCCTACTTTTAACACACCAATTATTCGATCAAAATAGTCCAAAGCTTCATTATCACCCGAAATAGTATCAACACAAGCTATAAGAGATAAAGATGGGTTAATTGTACGAATTAAAAGTAAGCAACAACCTTCAATTACTGGCGAATCATCATTTTGTGGTAATAAAGTGGATCAAATGAAAAATATCAATCCACAAGATCAAACATAGGTCAAATTCAATATTGTTCGAAAATGTCATATTTGACTATTTTTTTAAAGAATGTTGTTTAAGTTCATTTTTAAAATTATAACAAATATTTCATTGCATAAAGAATAAATATCAAAGCAAAAAAAAATTGGTATATAAAAGAGGTCATGTACTTATACATGAGATACGTGTACTAGTATTTGCCCAGATGAAATGACTTTACGCTGGTGAAATGTTTCGGACTTCAAAAAGTGCAAATTACTATATATTATGCAGTTTGAACCGAAATTATTTCGCTCTGGCGAAATTATTTCTTATTGGCGAAATATTTCGGATTCTAGAAATTAATTTAGCCCGAAACACTAATGTATACTTTACTTAGTTTTATAATATTATTTACAAGCTGCTTTTTAATAAAGTAAAATAAATTATTACCAGATATTGGATTTTTTATTATTACATTTACAATCCTGCATTATACAAAATTTATATCAGGTTTATCTAGCACAATACACTGTACTTTTAGTATATTAGCAAATTTTAAAAATGCAATATTTTGAAAGATTTGCATAGATAATAAAATTATAAACAAATGTAGATAATAGATAATGATTTTTTTTAATAAATAATAATCTTTAGATAAGAGAGCTTCAGCATGTTAACTATATAATATTTATAGATCAGTACTTAGAGAAAAATTGGTGTAAAGAATTATTAGAAAGAGTTACTTCAAAATTTGTATATATAAAATTATTTTTTTTTTTTAACTTTTTGACAGTCTCATCAGTACTTTTATTAAAAGATAAAAGAAACATATATAAATATCTACTCTAATATCCACATATAGCAAGTCTAGCATCGCTTGGTCCTTTATAAGAATAACTACTAGCACAACCTATTATGCTATCTTCCAGAAGAAGCAGAAGATTATATTAGCCCTGTCAAAAGCCAAACTCTTTAGATTTTCTTTTCTTTACCAAACAAAAAAAAAAGAAAGTAAAATTTATATGCATAAGTATTAAATATTTACAACATATAAGAAAAAAAGAAGAGTAAAAAAATAAAACAAAAAAGAAGTAAAGTAGAAAAGATAAAGAAGTTTATAAAGGAGAAATAAAGGGATATAAAAAAAGAAAAACAAAGAGAAAAGCTTTTATGGAGCTGACTAACTCTATGCTATTTAAAATAAAAAAAAAACTAAAATAAAAAAAAATATTAGGAAAAAATATACTATTATAATTTATATTAGGTAAGTATAAAAATTTTATAACAAATACAACATTTGTATATCTTTATTGTAAAGCTTTGCTTTATTATTCTATTATCCTCCAACTTACAACTGACTTTGAATATCTCTTTAACCCAAGATCTGATTTATATTACATAAAGTAGTACTATATTTATAAATAAACAAAACATGTAGTTGCAATTTATTGAGTTTGTCTGAATTTGAAAAGTAAATAATGCTAATCTTTTGAAAAAAGTAAGTCAAATCTAGTGTTCTGATCTGAGTTTAAAAACCCAGATTAATCTAGAATTAAACTATAATTAATCTAATCTTCATATTTAGATCTAATCTAGTTAATTTAGAGATTATCAAAAAAAATTTTTTAATTAGGCTTTTTAATAGTCAAGTAGTAGCTTATAGAGTCTTGAACCAATTTAGCTTTGATTATGAACAAATAGTAATTAAGATTAAATAGTTTAAATCAATAAACTAATACATATAATTACAGATTATATGGTTTCTCTTTATTAATATAAATTAATATATCAAATTATTTGGATTAATAATCAACTCTTTCTGATGATCACTTGAACCAAAATTTCCCATGAAAGAAAAGTCAAGTTTGGATACTAGAAAGTAAAAAATACCTGTAGTAGATAGACAACAGAGCAGTTTTTATAAAAGTCAACCTTTTGTACTTTTACAGGGACTCTTTTATATATTCAACATGCAAGCCAAAAGTATTTTTATACAAGATAACTGGCTAGGGAAGTATGCTTTTGTATATGAAATTTTGGTGGGGATTATGGTTTTTTTCTGTCAATGAAACAAACTGTTGTAAAATAACTAAAGAACAGTAAAAAACTTGCTATTCTTAAGCTACACTCTTTTACTTGGCCAAGTAACTCCTCTCTCACTCACTTTTGCTTTCCTGCTGGCTTTCCAATTTTTTTTACAAAAAGTAGGGAATTTGGCTTATTTCTTCCAAAAGATTGGCATTGTTTACTTCTCAAATTTGAATAGATTAGTGAAATGCAACTATGTATTTGTTTACAGATGAATATAGTACTACTTCATAAAACTCAGCCTGGGAACTCTTGGGCAACAGAGCTATCTGGAGTTGATAGAAAAATTGAAAAGTAAATTTAATATTAAGGCAAAGCTTTATAGTAGAGATATACAAATTTTGTATTTGTTATATAATTTTTATTAGCTATGCATGGGTTATAATACACATCACTCTGGTTATATCGATATTTTTGAGACATTAGTAAAAAAATTCAAAATGTTGGTACACTGACATTTTATATTAAATTTTTGAAAATAAACGTCAGTATAGAAAGATTTTACTATGATGTCATTATATTCAGATGTCAGTATAACCAAAGTGGCATGTAGTGCCTTCAGAGTTTTAAATTTCTTTTCATGTTTTTTCTTTTCTGCCTTTTCTTTTTCTAATCATTTTCGTATTTTTTAAAAATTTTCTCCCTTTGTCTCATACCTCTTGAGAAGAAGGAAGAATTAGAAAGGAAAAAAGAGATTCTAACATGGTATACAACAGCCTATCAATAATTGAAAAGGGTATTATTTTGACAATCAAAATCTGAAGTAAGTTTTGAATCCTGAGTGAGACTAATAGTTGTTATAGCAGGTCATATTGGGTTTTAATCTGGTAAGTTTTTATTAAGTTAGAGCTACAAGTTGTAAGGATTTAGTATATTCATATATATGAATTATATAACAGCTCACATAAATAAAAGCAGGATTGCTTAAATATAAAAAATATATCAAATTATTACAATAATACTAAATACTATTAATAAGATATAGTGCAGAACACCTAAAGATTTCACAAACTTTAAAAGCTAATAATATTTAATATAAAATCTGCATTACAAAAAATGGGCTGTTATTTTGTAATTTAGCTACATCAGCAAATTATATAAACGTAATCTTACGTAAGATATTACGGCCCGTAATATTGCGCAAGAATTACAGTCTAGACATAATATTGCGCAATTTATTACGTAATATTACGCAATTTATTACGGAGTATTACGCAATTTATTACGGAGTATT